GAGCAGGTGTGTGCTGTGCAGCCCTGTAAGAGCTCTGTGCCTTCCAGCATTACCCAGACGAGCGCCACGGAGGCCCCGAGCGGCACTCGCGGGACTCGCGGGAGAGCTGGGGAAGCTACGGCTCCGACAGGAGGATGAGTGAGAGCAGAGGGATCCCCCCACAGTCACGGTTAGTACTGAAAACACCTCTTCTTGTGCACCTAAGGACTGTTTACATATGTCAAAAGTTTTTGGAAGATGTTCTTCTTTTTTCCAGCTTTCACCAAAAGTATGTTGGATGGATTGCAAATGTTTTGATGCCTTGTGCATCAAAACATGCACTTACCTGATTTTTTTTTAATAACTTCACATCTTAAAGTCATAATGCTTTCCATTAATTTTAACTAACATTCATATCAAAGCTTGCTATTTTCAGGATAATGGTTCTCCCCCAATATCTTACTTATTTGTCATCTTAGTTGGTTTGAGCAGGAAGATTCTTCTGAGATTTTATTTAACAGATAGCAAAATAAGAATCACATGAGCCTTGGTAAAGCATTTGAGTAAGTTTGTGACTTAGATTCAAATATAAAAACTATTTAATGTGCTCTGACTCATGTGAGAAGATGGGGATTTCATGTCTTTACAGGGATGGACGTGACTGGGGAGATCACAGTCGAAAGTTTGAAGGGCACCAAGATCGTTCCTGGCAGAGCAGCGTGGATGGAGGGATGATAGGACGGGATCATGAGAGATGGCAAGGTATGGTTCTTGCACAGCTCCTTAGTTGTGCTGTGTAAAGAAGAAAATACAGGCATTATCCTTGAAATAAAATTCTTGCTGTGGATATAAAGAAAGTATTTAAACATTTTTAGGTGGCGGTAGAGGCAGACCTGGCCACGTGATGCATCGTGGAGGCATGTCAGGGTAAGAACTTAAAAAGGAGCAAAGTGTTTGTCTTCCTGTTAAGGGACATTTCTTCTATTTAAATTGGTCAAAGAAACATTTTATGGGAGTCTCAGTTATCAAATTTGTTACTTAAAATGTCAAGGAATAATAAAATATCCCCGTGGTTTTTATGTAGTGCTTTTTATGGAAGAGTGAAAACAAAAAGAACACCCATTCTAGCAACCTGACTATACCAGCATGAGAGAATATTAAAATACCTGAATCCCTTTCCAGGCGTGGCAGTTTCATGCAGGGTGGCAATCAGAGTCAGATCATGCACGGAGGAGGAATGCAAGGAGAAGGATTTGCTGGCCAGGAAAGGGCAAACAGACCGAACGATCCTCGTTTCAACCGTCGCTACTGATTGTGTTTGGTTTTTAATGCGAGGTGGCAAGTGAAACAAATTACCCAGGGTTACCATTAATTGTAACTTATGGGCTACTGTAAGTGTAATTTTTTTTAAGCTGCTGCCATATTATGTCACTCAATCCAATGTGAACTCATTTGTTTTGTAAGGTGTTGTTCATATCCCATTTAAACTGTTTGTTAATGAAGCATTCCATTTTCCATAAATAAACACCAGTTTACAGTTACTTGGGTTTGTTTCAGCAGTCCCTGTCCAACAGATTTCTTCAGCTATATGTTAAACCATAACTTTGTTTCAAAGCCTTACAGGTGTCCCTTTGCACTCCCAGAAATAGTGAAATCCTGTTTTACCTCAGAGCTGTCAGTTACCAGCCATGGAACCATGTGCCACTGTGACAGAACCTTAGTGGATCACAGCTGTCAAAGGACCTGCCACTGCAAAATTGCCACAGCAGCTTGTAGGGCATGTGGTGAAGAATTCTTTTCATCTGGTGTCATGTGCAATATAATGTGTGAGAAGGGAGTTACATTCTGTGATAGCAGCACAGCTGTAACAGACAGCACAGAGGTGCTTGTGACCCTCTTGCAGGTGCCTGTCAGGACCACTTTATTTAGCTTCTGATACATCAGGATAGTCCAAAACTTCACCAGTCTTACAGCCCAGAAATTCTACCTAGCAATCCATAATTTCCTTAGAAGCAGCCACTGGCCGTGCTTTGGCATAATTTTGTGTTGAGGAACTGACATGATCGAGACTGGTGCAAATGATCTGTTATATCCAAGTTATAATTTGTGCAGACTTCTGGAGCATGACCTTAGCCTTACCTTAAAATGGCTTTTATGATGCCAAGAGGAAAAAAAACACTGTCACTTGGCATTTGTAGGGTCACTGGGTTTTTTTCATCTTTAGAGAAGGGGTTTTTTATGAGTTGCCTGAAGATACCTTTTCATTCATCAATGTAGAAAGCGTATTACAACGACGAAGCTTTGCAGAGCAATCATCAAAGGGTAAAGAAGTGGTACGGAAGATCCTGAAAAGCATGGAGAACTCAAGTTCTGAGCATGCCAGAGGTGCAGTATTCTGTTTGTACATGGTGTGCTTTGCTCAAAGTGGTTACATTTGGTTTGTAGCAAAAGCCACCAGAGAGAGCTCTCTAGATGAATGTCAGAATTTCATTAGTAGGAGGTTTGGCCTGGTGAGAAGTGGGGGTAGACCTTTGACCAAAGTTGTGCTGCTTCAAAAGCAGTGTTCTGGGGTACAGTGAAGCATCTGACACCTGCAGGACACAACTCCAAGGTTTACCGAGCTTGAAGCTTCCATCTGGACCATCAGGTTTAAGAGCTTCTGATGGACCCATCCTTCAGGAATTAACTTAAGCACTTTTTAAAGCCGTTTGCATCTTAGCCAAATCCTCTGAAATCTCTGGGCAGTTGGCTTCATCATGTACCTATTTGTTTAAAAAGGAAACAAAACTGCAAATCCTTCTTCATCCTCGTGTTTTAAATTTGCTTCCTGACTTGAGTAAGGACTCATCCTACTTTCCCCTCCTGCTGTTCCCTGTTTGGCAGCTGTGTTTTGGCTCATTCTGTAATTATAACAGTCCTAGGCAAAGGTGTTAAAAACATGATTAATTTATAACTTTATTTTACAATAGTAAAATAGGCCACTGGTGCTCCTTACATTTGCCTGGGCTGTGACTGAAAAAGTGAACTTATGAAAGTTTTCATCCATGTTAAAATGAAAATATGCAGAGTCTGCCACCTGGGGCATAGTGCAAGCTAACAAAAGGTTTTATTCAGATAAACTTTGTCCAGTTACTCTCCCCTGTGCTTGTATAACCATCCTAGGCCATCTTTTACCTTGGATTTTTGATTTTGTTTGAACTTTTGTTGGCTTGGTTTGAATTAGATGGCATTCACCCTCAAGATTAATTCAGCTTCAGAATGATCTATTTAGTTTCCAAGCTTTAGAACAGAAGCTGTTCCTCAGCACATGGCCATCACTTCATCACAACTGATCTGTGATTCCTGGAGCTTTGGATCATTGCTAAGTCAAATCCATTATTCCACTCTGCAGGCTAAAACCAACCCAAAATACAAATGGGAGTTCCAAAGTCTTTTATTGTAGCCCTTACACGGCCGAGCTGCCCTCCAGAGGGGTGGACTGAGAGAATCCTGAACCCTGGAGAACGGGTTCATTTCACAAGATCCTTCACATATTTCCAACCTTCCACTGTGTATTCACAGGCCCTGGTGGGAGCTACGGACAGGGCAGACATAGCTGTGTGCACTCCTGCAAGGAAAGCAGAGAATTACCCCAAGATCACCATCATTCAAGCCAAATTTCCCAGTTTCCAACACCTCCATTATAGGTCTCTTTAAGCCCTGAGCATTTGTGACTCAGAAATTCCAACTTCAGGGCCTCTACATGAGTTAAGACAATTATAAGATGGAATTCAATTCTTTGTTTAAGTCCTGTTTTATTTCTGGCCTTGCCACAGACTCTATGGATGATGCAGGATATGGCAGTTATTTATGGATTGTGTGTCCCCACAATTACATGAAAACTCCTTGCTGCACCATAAAAACTACAAATTACCAGGTATTTATAACATGCTTTGGCCTTCAAAGAAAAATGTCTAAAATTCTAATAACAATGGGAATGCTCATCCCTTCTAAAAAGCCAAAGACTGAGTTCAGACTCGGTTAGTGAGCATTTATTTTACCTTTATTCCAGGAGTCAGAGAGGGAAAAATCAAATTTTGGAGTGGGTGGGAGCTAGAAAGAAAGAGAGAGACAAAATATCAGCACTCAAGGGGATTCATTTGGAATTCACATCACCTTGTCAATGCCTCTTGACCTCAGATCTCAAAAATACTTGGGTGCTTACTCTCTGTAAGCCTCTAAAGGGACCAGACATGGGCTTTACTCTTTCCTGCAATATAAAGTAGGTGCAAAAGGTAGAACATATCATTTAGGTTCTCCTGAAAAAACATCTCCATGGCTGTTAGTTTACAGCTGTCTGTAACAGGAAAAATGCTTCTCAAGCTTAAAGCAAAAATCCTCTTCTTTTCTGAGGATTTTAAAAACTAAGGACTACTCATAGAGGAGGAGCCTCTTCAGGCAATTTATATTCAACTTGATGAGCTGTTAGCAATGTAAGAAATTGGGAGGATAACATTTTCATTGTTATTTCTTGAAAACATGTAGGATCTCCCAGAAGAAGCTTAGAAATACCACTGTACAGTGAAATACCTCCCAGAGCATGTTTGCAATCCCTTTCTTGACCATACATAGGCTGGTTACTCCTCTCCTTTGAAATAACATGTGTGAGCAATGTCTCTGCCCCAAATTTAGAACTTTATTCACCTTCCATTTCAATCCTCTTTGACATGAAATCCAGTTTCAACTCCTGCCAGCCTCACTGGAATCAGAGTATCACCCCCATATTTTCTCTTCCTCATTCAGAGGAGGTGTCTGTGCTGCAGGGATCACCTGAGCAGTCCTTACCTCCCAGCCCAGGTAATTTGTCCACTCTTGGATAGCTGGAGGCAGCGTTTCTTGAGCTTTTTTGAAAGCTTCAGCACCTTCTGTGCCACTGCCCAGCAGCCCCTGGTCATATGCAACATACACAGCAGCTCCAGCCAGGCCTCCTTTGATCAGAAACCTGAAAGAATTGCAAGCAGAACAATTCAGTTCATGTTCTGACCATCAGTGCATCTCTCTCAGTGGTTGTGACTGCCAAAGAGAGGGAATTGATAAAGAAATCTCTTGTCTTGCTGCAGGTAAAAATCAGAAAAATACCTGTCTATGTTCCTTGCCTTCCTAGGACAACTATTCCCTGTCAGCCCCTTGAAATTACACTTAATTCACATTTTATCAGTGATGGTTCTCAATATAAAAAATGGGAAAGTGTTAAGTTCCTCAAAAGCATGTGCCACTTTTAAAGCTTGAGAATCACTGGCATATTTCCCTGCTAAAAGCAACTATGGGATTTTGCAGTGGCCAAGCCATCCATGATAATGATAAATCTGACATTTATCTAACAAATCTGACAGACACCAATATCTTGTTAAGCTCATTACAGTCCAGTGAACACCTGGCCGTGGTGTTTGCATTGCCAAGGCTTTTAAAGTTTCCCTGCATGATGTGCAGCCACCAGTTTTTACAGCTGTGATGGCAACCTATCAAAGGGAGGGGGAAAGAGAATATTTGGACTTTATAGGCATTTTCATTATAAATAAGATTTGAGGTGACTGGTTTTCCCAGACTTACAGGGCAGAGAGGTGTTATCCCTTTAAAAAAACCAGCAAAACCTATTGTACAAGGGGACAACCCAAACCTTGGCAGACAGCGGTACTGCAGTAGTGGGACTTAAGACAGATACAAGAGAGCTGACAAGAGAGAACTAAATTTTTAAGTCCCGTATTCACATGCATTTCGGAGAAAAGGGATTTCCCTGTTAAAATGCACTGTTCGCCCCCAAGGATACCGTTCCGCACTCCCTCGCTGTGGGTGTACGCCCAGCTCCGAGCACCGCGCTATTCCCGATCTATGTTACGTGTCCATGCTCGCCCCCAGCCAGCGGCACAGCCCTGCCCGGCGTGTGCAGACACACACGGGGAGCTGCCGGCCGCGGGGGCAGGCGAGGCCAAGGGCGCAGAGCGAGGCGAGCACAGCCGAGGGACAGGGCCGGTCGCGGGCCTGGGGACGGGCCGGGGACAGCCGGGGAGCACTGAGGCACCGGGAGCGGCGTGAGGCGCTGGCCGGGCGGGGAGTACGGGGGGGAAACGCCATGCG